TGTTATCCAACATTGCTAATAAATATCAGCATCATCTTAATTTACATGTAATAAGAGCTCCAGTATAACTGCTCTCATTACAGACATTCATTTTGAGTTTTGTTGTTTGTTTTTTTAAATTGGATACCACTATTTGGGAGCTAATAAAATTAGCAGATATTACAATGAAACAACTAACATTGAGGTAATTACTTGTTTATGTTTCAGGTTTTCTAAAATGTTATGTTTAAATTTGCAAATGATGCAACTAATTATGACATAATTAATAATAATTACTAATTATGACATAATTTACACAACAGTTTAATTGGTAAACACCAAAAACCATTCACCAAATATATATTACGGATGTTTTCTTTTAATTACTCTACAAGCAGATGTATTAGTTATCACTGCATGGGTGAAAAACGATGTTCTTGTTAACAACCCTCACTTAATAAGCTATACAATATGTTTTATAAATGTTGATATAACTCATAAACCACTATATTGTAGCTTAAAAGACTGTGTGAAACCTGTCTGCTCGGTGCTTACATTAACACAAGTCGTTCGTGTGTTGAAAGTTTTCTAAAATTACGGTTAAAGTTTGCAAACGAGACCTCATTGATTATGTGCAAATTTGCAAAAGGATCTCATTGAAAAACACTGAAAAACAGTGAACTAAATATATATTTTGAACGCTTGCTTCCCACTTGTCTGTAAGACATGCTATGGAAGAAAAATAGCACAACATTTTAAAAATGACCAGTGTATGAGATTAAAACAAACAAACAAACAATAAGATTTTGCTGTAAAAATGTTTTAATTTTGTCAGTAGTCGACCGATGGGCGTGGCCATAGATCTCTGTGGTCTGATTGGTCGGCTCCGTGCTGCCTGCTCAGTAGTGAGAACGAGTCGTGTTGATTTCAGAAGTCATCATGGCGCACACTTCCCCAGTCAAAGGTAAAGGGATTTCTTCTCTTAACCTTCCGTTAGAGCTGATATGTGATCCACCGTTTAGCCTAAGACACACATGCCGCTTTTATAAACACGTCCATGTACTGAAAACTGCTGTCGTTAGCTTTTTAAGATTATATTCAGTGTACGCGGCGTCACACTGTCAGAGACATAAAAGCTAACGTTAGCTAGCTCGATGATGCTCCATGTACAACTAAACAGGGAAATTAGCTCATACCGCAAACCAGTGTTGTCTTTCTCTTCTTTCCGTTTTGTAACAGCTGTAGCGTGCACTATATAACAGCAGAGTTTGTGTCAAGTACCTTGCATTTTCTTATCGCTTTAAGATGTTCACCCGGTAGAGCGATAAGTAGTTGGTTAGGGAAGTGTGTGCTTCACGATAAGAGTCAGCGTTAGCAGCCTGTTAGCATTGAAGCCGTCTTGCTCTGCTTGTCATCAAGAGGCATGCAAAGGTGACATAATGTACGGAGACATTATTGTTATGTCGTTAGTAATTAACATTAGCATCAAAATAATATCGTTACAGAGTGTGATTTCACAGTATATTATCAGTGCGAGCTCTTTGGCTGAGATCTTTTGAAAACGGCTTTATAAATACAATACGATACAATGCAGTGACACCGACCGGCAAACACCCCCTATGGAAAAAAAAAATTAATTAACAAAAAACAAAAAAAATGATCCAGACGATGATTTAGCTTGGGCTGATTTTGCAGTAATTCAGTAATCTGCGTAGCAGTAATATATTTCTTTCAGGAAGCCCGCTGCTTTTATCGGTGGATACAGGTCTCCAAAAGGATCTGTCTCCACTTCTCAGGATTTCATAATGAGCCAGTGTTTGAGTTTAATAGTCTGTAATATGTTCTTTATATTTTCCATCCTCACAGTTTTTGCATACAGTTTGTAAGAGATGAGAATACCTGCTGGGCCTGAAAAGTGAAGCTACTTTGACCTGCTCCAGTAATCACATGGGGTTGGGGTCCGCATATTTGATATGGCTTATTGTTTTTTTACACCGGATGCCCTTCCTGACGCAAGCTCTCCAAGCTATTAGTGTCTGCTCTTGGGCTCGACCCAGGGATCTTTCATTTGTTAGGGGAATTTTAGAGGTTAAGAACTGAACTGGTGCATAAAAAGAAAAATAAACTGTGATGAAAATGATAGATATAGCACAGATGTTCCAATCATTTGGGTTTCATATTTAGACATATTTTCATTTAATTCCTTACGCTGGAGTTGGAGATGGCCATCCTTTGTTCTTGTGTTAGTATTTTAGTATCTGCATGGATAAAACTGAGCTAAGTTACATCTTGTTTGTTTGCTGCAACAGGAGCAATTGGATGCATTTAGAGGAAATATTGCAGATAAGGCCAATAAGAAACCCCCAGTATGCCACTGATGTATATAAACAGATTTGTAGGATTTCACTAAATGGTTTTATATGTGTTTATTTACATTTAATTTTAAAATAAGTGCAGGGCCTTTTACTCCTTTTAGGATTCCTTAAATATACTCTTTGAATTTAGGAATCAAATTCTACAAGGGAGTCTTTATATTAAAGGTGGATCATTTTGAGGTAGTTCTGCTGTGTTGAATAACTGTTGTTTTTTTGTTTTTTTTAAAGAATGTTGCTTTCAAAGTTAGAAATCTGAGCGTTAAAGTTACAGCATGATCTCCTGTTGAGCGACCACTGAGCAATCCTGTGCCAAGAATGCTCTCTGTGTAGAGGTTTACCACTCATTCAGCTTAATCTTTTCACAAATTCAATCAATATTTAACAGGTAAATCCTGATTGGACAGCCCTCAAGATTTTGATCCCAACCTGTCATGTCATGAAGTGCAAATGGGCTTATTCTTAGTTTAGGTTCAGCTAACTACATTCTACAGGGGTCATTTTTACTATGCTTAAAGATGAGAAAAGAAGTATTGAAACAAAATGTATATTGTCTGCTTCTCTTTTTCTGTACTGCATTTTCATGTAGTTCATTTGTAGCATCCATTCTGTGGCTTTTCAGTCATAGACTAACCAAGAAACATATGTAAAATATCACTTCACGCAGGGGTGTAAAACATATAGCTAGAGGGCGAGAACCAGCCTTCCAAAGGGACCAGTCTGACCCACTGGATCCACTTTCTAAAGTATGACGCCAGGAAGCTTAGTGCTGTAAGTTGTTAAAAATTGATTAAAGCACTTTTATACCCATGACCTTTTATACCACATTAAAGGTAGATGGTTAAACCAAAGAGCCGTGCTCACATGTTTTATTTCTCATGACAGTAGTCTGGCAGCATGTGGAAAACCCAAGACACGTTTTTCAAATTGCACCTACTGCTCTAAAGACACATCAGGCCGTAGGGCTGGGCGATATGACCCAAAATTCATATCTCGATATTTTTTAGCTGGATGGCGATATAAGATATATATCTCGATTTTTTTTTAAAGCCATAAGTTAAGAACAAAAAGAGAGTTCTTAGTCACACTGTGTCCCAGATGTCACACGGACACTTTTATTTACATACAGCGTAGATGTACATGAAGAAATTACTCAAAAATAAATTATCAGCATTTATTAAATAATCATGGTCCATAAATAAAAGAAAACAATGTTGTTTTTGTGCATAACAAAAAGCTCACAATTGTGCAGTCAAAATGTAAACTAATAGACGCTGAGCACAATAACAAAGAGACAGATTTCACAGCTGCACCACGTCTCTGAACAGGTGCCATTTGTGGTCCTTATACACACACAGTACGTATCACTCCGCGAGGCTCCTCCTCGGTAGCCGTAATCCTCCGACAATCCATCAAGCGGTGCAGCTCCGTAGCTTAGCAAAGTCATATTAAAGCATTTTTTGACAGATTGCTGAGCGCTGTGTACCACATAAAATCGGTTCGCGGTCAGTAAGCACAACCAGAATTCATACATAAGGCGCACTGTCGATTTTTGAAAAAAATGAAAGGATTTTAGGCCGTGTAGCCCCTCCTGGCTGCATGTTGTTAGCGCGGTTAGCTCGCTAACACGTTGACGCCGTCCAGCCCCACGCACGGTAACTCGCTAACGGAGATTTTCCGCTTTCATCTTGTCATTGCCTGCAGGTGAAGTTATGGGGGAGGCGGAGTTGTGTTCAGTGAAGGAGAGGCCAGGCCGGGTAACGTTGCGTAGAGACAAAAGTGGACGAAAGAGAGGCAAACCTGCGGCTCCACAAGTATAATTATAACGTAACATAGACTATATCGATATAAACGATATTGTCACATCTTATATCTCGTATGAAAATATATCGATATTTTTAAAAAACTCGATATATCGCCCAGCCCTATCAGGCCGGTTGTTCATGGTTCATTAAATGGGAACATTTTGAGGCTGCATTTCTTTACTCTAAACAAAAAAGAAATATGTTATTTTTTGTATGTAAAGAATTTGACACCTCTGATCTAAAGTGAAGTTTGAATACACAGCTACTGATTGTGAATGGACTGGTTCTTTTGAAGCCCTTTTCAATTCGAGCACTCAAAGTACTTTATACCACACTCATTTAGTTAGATGAACACATTGGAGAGAATTCAGTATTAGTATGTTGCACAATGTTGCAATTGGTATGCTACAGCCCCTCGCCAAATGACCACTATCACATGACATGTAAAAACACAATTGTAAGCCTCCAGCCAGTCAGGTGTCTTAATTCTTTCCCTCATAAAGATGACCTCCCCTGTACTCTTAATGATGATTTTTGACAGTATATGTCAATAAAGTTCAATAAGTTCCAGGTTTTTAAAAGGGTAGCCCAAGTAAGCAGTGTAGGTACACATTACTCCAACTACTGCGCACACAGTCACACACAGTCATTTTGTTCTAGAAACAGGTCTGATGTCCAGAGAGGAAAGAGTGTGTCCTTGTCCTTAAATAACTCATCATATAAATGATAAATGCACAGATGCTTATTGGTTAAAAAGTGGACTTGAAAGAAAGAAAGCAACAGTGGAGATGACCGTTAAGTGGGGAAGCATAGGAAAAAACGAGATCAAAAAAGCAGCACAAGAAGCACAGACAATGGCTTCAGTGGAGAATTTTCATTGTTTGTAACACTTCACTTTTTTTGGTTCCCATGCCGGCAGGAGCTAAGCTAAGGGGCCGAGAAACAATAGTAGCCAACAAACTGGCTTTTCAACATATTTTTCAAGCAGCCCCTTTGATGAGTTTGCAGCTCAAACATGTTGATGATGGTCATCAAAGCTCTGCATGGGACTGTTCTTCAGCCTTAGTGGTCCCTTAAGTACTCTAAAGCCTAACCTGATCAAAGTATTAGATGTCATTTTCTAAATTAAAAAAAAAGAACTAAAAATAACTGAAACTATTGTTTAGATAAAAATCAATTTTCTTGCCTTCATAACATGGGGTTAGAGCAGATGGAGTACTTCATGTGAGTCAGCAGGTAGTTAAGTTTACTTGACTATTTGTATATTTCTCAGGCATCAGAGTTTTATTTTCATGAGTGTATTTTTATTTCTTTTCCTTTCTTGCTGCAGAGCACCCGTACAGCCATCTAATCGACACACTGAAAGATGGCCAGATCAAGTTCTTCAATCCATACAAATTAAACGATCCCCGATATGGTGAGTTCAGGCCCTCTGACTGAAATGTTTTTACAGGGTATGATGTTTTAAAGACACTGCAAACTCTTTTGTGTCTCAGGATAGTTGTGTAAGGTAAAAGGATTGTCTTGAAGTAACACTTAAGAGGCATCGGTGTGCTGGCACTTTCATTTGTCAACAAATTCTCAGAGCACATCTCGACAATTAACAGTTATCTAACAGGGGCGGTTAATAAAGTGTTAGGCCTAATTACCCACTGTTTGCTGTGGGAAATAACTGTTTTGTTTGCTCTGTGCAGACAAGCTGCCTCTATCCATCCGTGTCTTACTGGAGGCAGCAATTCGTAACTGTGATGGCTTTTACACAAAACAAGAAGACGTCCAGAACATCTTGCACTGGCAGCAGGAGCAGAATAAAGCCGAGGTGCCATTTTCTCCCGCTCGGGTCCTCCTGCAGGACTTTACGTGAGTTTCACAGGGCTTTCTTTGCATCAGCGCTGTGGTCTGTGTGTTGGGAAAACATGAGATGAAATCAGTTTATCTTCAGTTGGAGAAAGCAGAATGGATAGATGAGTGACAAGATGTGGGTGACGCAGGTGACCCACCAGCAATTAGCTTATCAGATCCTTTGTCATCTTTCTTTGTTTTCTGCCATAAACAAGTGTATATATATGTGTGTGTGTGTGTGTTTATATACATTTCCATTTATGTCCTTTTACAGTGGTATTCCTGCAATGGTGGACCTGGCAGCCATGAGAGACGCTGTGGCCAAACATGGTGTGGATCCTAGCCTGGTCAATCCTAAATGCCCTACAGACCTCATAGTAGATCACTCATTACAGATTGATTATAGCAAATGGTATGTTTGTGTTTATATTAACTGTTTTTGTGAATGTGAATTCTCTGTTGATTATCATGGAAAGTCAGATTGGTAAAAATATATTGTCGCTGCCTTGCCTCATGAATTTAATGTTTCTTTTTGCATTTTTACTCACAGTGCCATACAAAATGCTCCCAACCCTGGTGGAGGGGAGGGTCCAAGCCAGGGGCCCTCTCGCTCAGTACACTCCAGGCCTCCGTCCAGAGGGGGCGCACAGTGTGGAGGCCAGCGGGGCTCCTGCAGTAAAGCGGCCTGCAGCGACTCCCCAGCCTCCCCAGGTGGATCTCCAGCCTCTGTCCAACAGATTGAGAATACACCTCTCCTCTGCCCTTTCCACCTGCAGCCCGTCTCTGAGTAAGTTTTAAAGGATGCTGGGGGGAGGGGCTAATATGCACCATGAGGATGATTAAATGAAAACAGCAGTTGAATACAGTAACTGAGCTGTTGTGCAGTTATGTTTATGTGTTGATAATACATTAGATCAGATGATTTTACTGGCTGACGAAATTGTGCAGCCTTTGAAATTCTCGCAGATGTGGCGTTTCTGTTTGCAAAATGACCTGAAGAGCATGAGAACATCTGATTATCATGAGTTGACATACGTCAGTAGAAGTTGAATTCCCCCTTTCGCATGTTTGCTGATGACTTATATTCCTTTCTTTTCTGCAGAGTTGAAACAGCTTTGAGAAATCAGGAAATGGAACTGATCAGAAACAAAGAGAGGCTTCAGTTCTTTAAGGTAAAACAAGAAAAATGACTGCTGCTGCTGCAGTCTTTATATGATTTGTAGTTTTTATAACCGAGTAAAAAAGAAGTCACAGTTATGGGTTATGTAGCGAAACAATTTTTAAATGAATAAATGCTAAAATTTTTGATACTGTTCCCAAACAGTGGTGTTCAAAAGCATTTAAGAATGTGAACGTGGTTCCTCCGGATGTTGGTGCAGTCCACCAGTTGAACTTGGAGTATCTGTCCAGAGTGGTGCAAGTCAGCGACGGTTTCATCTACCCTGACAGTGTGGTGGGAACCGACTCTCACACCACCATGATTAATGGCTTGGGCATCCTTGGCTGGGGTAAGAGATTTTCCAATATTTTGACAGTTGTTGGCATTTTGTAAACATGAGAAAATGCTCAGTGGCTGTAATGTACACCTGTGTTTGAATAGCTATTCTGAGAAATGAGAGGAGGCGATAAAGAGACACAAATAAGTCGCATACTAAAAGGGCAGCAAATACAAAAACCGGATTATGTCCAAGACGGTAACTTTGCAATGCAAACTTCTCTGCTTCTAAATTTACACTCTAGATAAAAACAAAATGGGACACTAATATGAATACAGATGTATTACAGATATATCCACCACAGAGGATAAGTGGTGCATCAGTATGCAGTACATGTAGGGAATTCAAACAGAAGGTAGTTATGACATTTTAGAAAATCCTGGAATAATGGGTAAATTAAACACTGTGAAATGATTCTTGGAGAAATTGTGGGGCACATTGCCTTAAACCAAACATATTTTTGGAGGATGTATTTAAGGCACTTAAACAATTCCTTGGTCAGAAATCTGTGGAAGTTTTGACTCAAATAATACAACATTTTCTAGGGATAATGTAACAATTAATTGCACCACTTAGATCAGCGGTCTCCAACCTTTTTTGCGCCACGGACCGGTTTATGCCCGACAATATTTTCACGGACCGGCCTTTAAGGTGTCGC